CTCATCTTCTTATACTGTCACTATCCCAGTAATTCTGACACCAACCCCTTTGCTAAATATTGTACAAACCCTTTTCCTCATCCTCCATTTTTTCATCCTTCACTGCCCACTCGCTTATTCCCATCTTCCTCAACCCTTCCGCTTCCCCCTCAAATGTCCCATTCCACATTTACTCATTCCTTCCACTGTGGCATTTAGAACCCTGGAATACCTGATCCATAATTAACAAATTCCCTTCATCTTAAAACTCATTCTTTCTCACTCCTTCCATTTTTGGCACTCACTCAGACCTGGCTCCCTCTCAATGAGGGACTCAATGAGACTCTGATGATGAGGTAGACTTTTTCTTTTGTGAATGCCAACACTTCTACCTGTACCCTTAGTCCCCTGTCCCATCTCTGCCTATTTTCTCCAGCAGCTTGCAATAAATCTATCTACATGCCAGTTCCTTTCCTACTTCCTATAACATTGTCCATGTCTTTCATTGTCCACTCTTTCAGGGCTGACTACACTTTGTCCCATTCTGTATCCACTGGTCACAAGCAAGAGAGTCAGAAAAATCCTTGTTTCCCATGAACACTTCTAGACCTTCTCCCTCTTACTACCACCATTCAGAAATCTCTCCTCTTTGGAGTTCAACATCCAAATTTATCACCTAATCCAGATTCTAGTGATGATTATCTCTCTACTACTAGAATATTGTACTTTCTTCAGAGTTCAGTGCCTGACTCACACCCGTGGCTCTCTCCATCCAACTTCTGCCTTCATAATACAGAGCTTTAATGCTGATATTCCCTCAAATACCCTAACTTCCCAGTTCACATGACCTATTCCTCCATTCTACCTCAAAAATACATGCTTTGTCATCCAGAAGTTTTCTACTTCTAGATTCATGATCTCTAAAATTATATTACCTGATCATCATAATCTTACATCACTCCACCTTTCTATATGCCTTGTTATCACTCTAAAATTTCTTTATCTGATCATATTTTATCATTTCTATCTTCCACATGCCTTACTAACCATACCTAAGTCTCTACCCTTCTGCTGTTTCCAGGGCTGTAACTCCTGCAATAACACTCATCTTTTCCCCACACTAATCTTTTAATAAACCAGGTCCATTCTACACTAATCCCTACTCTTGAATCTTTTGTCCCATTTGTCTTATCACAAACCACTCTTGGATTAGTCCTACCAATAACCTGTTTTGCTCCTACTCACAAGCTGCCGAACCAAACTAGAAGAAATCAGAAAATCACGCTGACTGAATCCGCTACAAATATGGTCCCTCAACGGATCAAGGCAATCCTCTTACTCCTGCCAAATAGACTCTCTCTCTTACTCTACACAATGGCTACTCCAAGTCTTTTATTCTATCTTTCAGAGCCTCCCACTTCACCTCCTCCTCCCTCCACCCTCTCAGAAGAAGACAGGTTCATACTTCACAGAAAAGAAAAAAAAAAGAGGTCATTCACAAAAAGCTCACTCCTGTCTCCTCACCTCACATCACTAGGAGATCTTAGCCCATTATTTTCTCCTTGACTTCAGTCTCTGATGATGACGTAGACTTTTTCCTTTGTGAATGCCAACACTTCTACCTGTACCCTTAGTCCCATGTCCCATCTCTGCCTATTTTCTCCAGCAGCTTGCAATAAATCTATTTATATGCCGGTTCCTTTCCTACTTCCTATAACATTGTCCATTTCTTTCCCTCAACTTTAAAAAACCCTCACTTGACTCTACCATGCCTACCAACTATTGTCCTATATATCTTATCTCCCTTTCTCAGATAAATTCCTTAAGAAAACCACCCACACCAAATGATTGCCTCACTTTCTCCTAAAAATTCTGCAGCCTGTTTTCCAACCTCTTCTTTCAACTGAAACTGCTCTCTCCAAAGACACCAGTGATCTTTTGCCAAATCCAGTGGCCTTTTCTCAATCCTCATCCTTTTTGACCACTCTGCAACCTTTTAAAACACTACTGATCATCTTTTACTCCTCAATACTCTCTTCTCTGAGTTTTGGTGACATAGTTCTCTCTTGGTTCTCCTCCTATCCATCCCCTTTGCTAGGTATCTTCCTCTGTACCACATTTACTAATCATGAGTGCCACACATATCTCAAAGGTTCTGTCCCAGGCCTTCTTATTTTTCCCTCCATACTATTTCCCTTGTGGTCTCATCAGTTCCCAAAAGTTCAAGTATTATTTCTATGCAAAAAAATTCTCAGATCAAATACATTCAACTCTAGTCTCTATCCTAAGCTCTAGTCCAGCATCACCACTTAAACATCTGGAAATAATATGTTATTCAATGTCTCAAACTCATCATATACAAACAGAATTCATTATCTTCCCCTTAAAACCAACCTGCCTTCCAAACTTCTCCTTTACTTATCCTCCCAGGCATCCAAGCAGGAAACTTAAGTACTATCCTTCTCACCTCGTTTTCACCCCACCATACCCAAATGATATTTCTACCTTCTTTCTTTCTTCCAATCTCTCTCTCTCTAACTGTACACACACCACCACTACCACCACCACTTTGTAATTGTTCCCCCTGTTTTTCAAGTCTTTCCCTACTCCTGCACTTAGCTGCCAAACTTTTCCTACTTAAAACTCCAATGGCTCTCTATTAATGTCTAGTGGATTTCCTAAAAACTCCTATGTTTGGCATAAAGCTCCTCACAATCTTGCCCCTTCCTGTCTTTCCAGTCTTCTTACACTTTAATGTACTCTATGATCCAGCCTGGAGTCAGGAATACCTGAATTCAAATCCAGGCTCAGACCCTAGCTGGATGACCCTGGACAAGTCACTTAACTCTGCCTCAGTTTCCTCTTCTGTAAAATAAGTTAAAGGAAATTGCAAACCACTCCACTATCTTTACCAAGAAAACCCCAAATGGTATGACAAGTTGGATACAACTGAAATGAATGAACAACAAAATAATCCAGCCACAAGAGGCTATTTTGCTGATTCTCTAACACACAACAAGCCATTTCTCATCTCCTTGCCTTTGCACTAGTTCCAATGCTGAAATGAGCTCCTTCCTCACCACCCTCTCAAGATCCCATAGCTTCCTTCAAGACTTAGTTCAAATTTCACTTTCTGTAAGAGGCCTCTCCTGATTTAAGGAGCAAAAGGTAGAGAATCTTCCTCTCTCAGTTTACCTTCAAATTACCGTATGTTTGCATGTATGTGTTTATGTGCGCATTTATAAATATGTGCATATATATACATATACACACATATATATAAAAAATATACATAGTGGTTTTGTTTCTTTGTAATTAGTTATTTACATGTTGCCTTAGAAAGTGAGCTTCTTTGAAGGCGGGGATTGTTTTTGCCTGTGGGACCTAGCAGAATGACAACTGCTGACCAACCTTCCCCAAAACCCTTGAAATGTAATAAGAAATTTTTAATGTGTGCAGTTGCATACGCACGTTTATCTGAAGATGAAAGTATAATTCCTACTGACCCAAGGGATTGTGCATATTACCAAATTTTTACTGTATTATCATTTGTTGAATTAAATACTGTATTTTAAAAGTTGGTGGTGGTGGTGGGAGAATGGCTGCTGAAAATCGTGGTCATGATCTTTGTGATAACTGTTCACCTCATCAAAATTTGTCCCATACCTGAGTTCAAATCTGCCCTCAGACCAAACACTTGACACTTACTAGCTGTGTGACCCTGGGCAAGTCACTTAACCCCAATTGCCTAAAAAAAAAATTTGTCCCATAAAGCTTAGTGCTCTAAATTTAAAATTTCTAAACAGTCATAATCCTATCTAACCTTTCACAGAGCCCAATCAAGCAACTGGCATTAATTAAATTCCAAATGGCCTTGTAATCTTTTTAGATAATACTACATACCGGCTTTGAAAAAACAATCTTATGTTATTGTTTGCAAACGATGCAACATGAAAAGTCCCTCTAAAATCTAAAAAGACTTTTTTAGGTAATGGAAATACAAGAAAGTTTTAAGCTTAAAATTATTCTTAAAGAAACCGAAACATACAAAAACACCTCAACACTTTGCCTACCAGCGCACTTGGTATTTCTATTAAACAAATCTTAACACAAAATAAATACCAGATCGTATGGGTATTCAATGTTTTGTTTTGGGTTTTGGGGGAGAGGGATAGCTGTCTGTGGACACTTTTGGATTTAATTCTTTATGAAGCAGGGTCCCGTTTCAGAAAACCTGAGTATCAGGCTGCTGATTCTAAAAAGGTCCCAAGTATGGGGCTAGGTTTCACAAAGTTTTCCTCTACCCTTCATAACACCTCTCTGCAAGGTGATGATGGCCCAAGAGCCTGATGGAGAAATTACAGCATCCTTCAGTAACCCTGTGGCAAACATACCCCACAGGGATTTTGCAACTTCCAAACTGTAATGCGAAAAAAAAAACCAAAAAACAAAAACAAAAAAATCATCACTGTTGGGAACCCAAGGGATACTACCCATCTCTAAACACATCATTTCCTTTTTTTTTTTTAAAGGGAACATCACACTTATTTCTCTCAGCCCAAATCAACTTCCTCTTTAATCGATGAAAAAGTTGCACGCTAAATCGAGAAAAGCCAACTTTCTGAAGTCGGGACACCTCCAAGAAACAACTTTCGCTGGCACGCGGGATGAAAAAGTAAGCCATCCTTCACCTGGCACGTTTCTTCTACTCCCCCAAGGTCTCCAAGGGTCCCAATACACCACAGAAAGGTGCACAGCTTGCCCGCCACCTCAAAGCCGGGGGACCCGTGTGCTCCGCGCGTTGGGGCTGACGGCTCCGCAGCAGGGCCGCCGCGCGCAGGACGCGGACAGGTTCCCTCTCCCCGCCGCGCATTCCGCCGCGCAGGCCCGGGGGCGTGCGGAGGGCTACTACGGGTGACAGGTTTATGGCCCGGGCCCTGCCAGGCTGCGCGGCGGGCCGCTGCCTGCCTCCGCACCTCATTCGCCCGCCCGCCCCGTCCCCTCCTGCGCTCCCTCCTCACCTGACAGACGGCACCGCGGAAGCTCGAGAAGCCGCCGCCCTCGTCCAAGTGCAGCGCGCGCTCCCCGACCTCGGACTTCTCTTCGCGCCGGTCGAACAGAAACACGGTGCGGCGGCCGCTCTCGCCGCCGCCGCCGCCGCCACCGCCACCGCCACCGCCGCCGCCTGCCGCTGCCATATTTGGGGGGAGGAGACAAGACGGGAGCGCTGGCGGCGGCGGAGGCCGCCCCTCTCAGCGGCGCCGCAGCTCGAGCTCCCCTCGCGGCGTCGCCTGTTACAGCTCCAGCCGCCCGGCGGCGGCGGGGACGGGGGGAGGTGGGGGGAGAAGCGGCAGCCCAACCACTGAGGACCTGCGGCCCTTGCGGCGGAGGCGACGCGACGGCTGCCGACCTTCTGGAGGGAAACGAAGAGGCAGCGGAGGCGAAGGGGCGGGCGAGGATCACCCGGGAACGGATTCAAACGAGTCTCTCCCCCATCTCTTCACGTCACTTCCGCGCCCTCGGCGCTCCTTCGGGGGGAGGAAACGCGGTTATCCGAAGAGACGACGGGCTCCCAAACCTCCACACTGCCGAACCTCACGCCGCACCGGATTGCACGTCAGCCTGTGACTCCTGGAGGAGGCAGCGGGGGGCGCGGCCCCTACCGATTGTGGCGTAGGAGGAGACGGCGACGGCGATGGCTGAAGGGGCGGAGCTAGTCCCGCAGGCCCCGCGGGGGCGGTGGAGGCCCAGACTAGGCCTCCTCTGTGGGGAGGAGGAGCTTCAGAGGGACCTGCCCCTTTTACCCTAGCGGAGCAAGAGGGGAATGACAGGTTGTTGTTAGACGGCAGCAGCGCGGCCCCACGAGGCTGGGAGGGCAAAACCAGTCTAGCGTGTAGGATCCTACGATGCGGAGGGCCCGGGTCGAAAAGGGGAGGGCAGCTGCCTTGAGCCCGACATTTCCGAGCCGCCGGACGCTCTGGCGCCCGTCGCTTCCAGCCCCGCTCTTAGGTCGCCGCTCCCAGCGTACTGATTTGGTTGGGGCAAGAGACGCCCGGACGGCCTCGAGCATCGCCACGCACGTGCCCGGCGCTGACGTCTTGCGCCCAGTGGCGGCTCTTTGATCGTTTTTTGGAGCTGCGGGGGATGGGGGCGTGGCGCGATCCCGGGCCCGTGACCCCATCCCCACTCCTCCAGCACAGCACTCCCCGGCTTCATTCACGTCTCTGGATCCAGGAGAAGACCCCGCCCCGCCTTGGGGAAGGGGGAGATGCTTAGGCAACTCCATTATCCCCATTCACCAGCCCTTTCCCGAGAAACCCTGTATTTCTGCATTCCTTTTAGGTGAACTCGCTTTCACGTGCTGGGCTAATAAGCGGTATGACCCCAGCACCTCCAAACCAAGAGGATCTTAACGTTTTTTGTCTCATGGACCCTTTTGACATTGTGGTGAAGTTTATGGACGGCTTTCTCAATATTTTTAAATGTATAAAATGCACAGTATTACAGATGAAACAAATTACTTTTATCATAAATTCACAGATCCTAGGTAAAAATCTCCTATTCTAAAGAGTAGCTTCTGCTTTATCCTCGAAGTCTCCTTAGTCCAGAAACTGCCTGGTCATTCGTGGCCACATCGAATTGGCAAAACTAAATTCATTATTGCATTTGTTTTTTTAGCCCCGAATAAATCGCCCTACTTGCATTTTGGCAAATCTTGGGAGAAGCGTTTGAACTTGGCGTTTTAAAACGCTTACTACAAACCTTCGCCTCTTTTCAATATTGCTGTGAAGCGCTTAGAAACAATCAGCCGTCTTTTCAATAAAAGCCGACTTGACAAAATAACTGTTGTACAGAGGCGCCAGTTTTGTTTTTATTTTGTGGAATGAATGACTTCATATAGGTATACAAATACCCAAAGCACTAGTCCTAGATGTGTCAGGGCTTGTAGAGGTCTGCTACATTTTAACAGATGCCAAACAAATTTAGATTTTACTGACGTGCTAAGATTCTGAAGTGTTTGGAAAACATCTTCCCATAGAAATGCGTGCAAGTTTGTACTGTTCATTTTCAATCGTATTTTTAAATTTGCTTTTGGCTGCTAACATTTACCTGTTCTGCATTTACTCTATGAGGAAATAAGTTCTGAGACAAGGCTCTGGGGTATCTATTTCCTATGTAACCTTCCTTGATGCTTGGTACCGTACATGTGCAAACCATTCATACTGAAGTTGAATTTTCCACTATAAAATATAAGCTAGTCACAACTAGCTTAATAATAGTAATAATAATAGCTAACATTTATACATGGCTTACTATGTGGAACGTGCTGTGCTAAGCGTTTTACAATTACTTTCTTATTGGATCTTCACAACCCTAGTAGGTGGGTGCTATTATTATCCCTGTTTTACAGATGAAGAAACTGGGGCAAACACAGGTAAAGTAACTTGGTTAGGGGTACACAGTTTAAGTTTAGTAAGAGTCTGAGGTTGGATTTTGAATTCAGGTCTTTCAGACTCAACCTATCCATTGTGACACCTAGCTGCAGACTTATAAATTTCTTTATATTGTAAGTAAGGTTTGCAAACCAGCCTCAAAATAAAAGAAACTTTATCATATTTATAGAAGATACTGCTCTAGGGGCTAGGTGGAGCAGAGGATCAAAGCATTAGCATTGGAGTCAGGAGGACCTGAGTTAAAATTGGAATATATATATATACATATGTATATGTGTGTGTGTGTGTATATATATCCAGAGTAAGAGTAAACTCCAGTGGATCAGATATAAAATCTGTTTGGCCATCAGAGCCCTTCATAATCTACCCTGCCCCCCACCCAACTTTACAGTCTTCTTACACCTTAAAACTCACTCCCCCCAAACTCTATTTACTCTTCCATCCAGTGACACTGGCCTCCTTCCTGTACCTCACACACTTCCTTCCCTCCCATCTCCCACCCCAGAGTATTTTCACTGGCTGTCTCCACCCCACCACCCCCACCACCACCCCAAGCCTGGAATGCTTTCCCTCCTCTCTCTCCTGACTATTCTGGCTACTAGCTGGGTAATTTTAGTCCGAGATGAAATCACACCTTTCCTGTTCTTTCTTAATTGTAGTGTCTGCCCTCTGTTCATTATTTTGTATTTATCCTATATATAGTCTGCTTGTATACAGTTGTTCACACATTGTTTCCACCATTAAACTTGTGAGCTCCTTGAAAGCAGGGACCTCTTTTGCCTTTATTTGTATCTCCAGCACTTAGCCTAGTGTGTGGCATATAATAGGTATTCAATGTTTATTGGCTATTAACAGGACTAATGATGAAGCATGCTACCCACAACTGAACAAGAAATGTACTCAAGATACAGAATAAAACAAACATTTTCACACAGCCAATGTAGAACTTTTTTTGGTTAACTGTGCCTATATTTTACAAGAACTTTTTCCCTCTCCGTGGGAGATATAAGGATGAGAAGGGATGGAGAGTAGCAAAGAAAAAAAGAAAAGACTGTCATTGAGACTTTTTTTAGAAAGAAGCACAGACAGGCAAGATAGCTTTGAAAGATATGATTTGAACTTATATACTTAAAAGAAGTGATACATAATAGAGATCTGAAGTGTCACGAGCAAGCCTTGTGTTAAGTTCAGAATTTTTTTTTTAATTAGAGTTCAGTAGTACACAGGTTTCCACCAAAATTTACAACTTCTGCAATCTCTATTAACTACTCTGTAACATTATTTAGTATGATCACATAAAATAGCATGTGTTGCAAATTGTGTGAGCACTAGAGTTGGAGTGAGGAAGATTTATGGTATACTTGAAGACCTAGAGGGCCACAGGTGGCCTGGAGGAGGAAGGTTCCCCACCCCTGGATAATATATATTGTACAATAAGGGGGTCAGATTGGATGACCTCTAAGGCGCCTTCCAATCCTAAATCTGTGATCCTATAATCTATCATAATATTTAAAGGAATAGTTTTTACCTACCATGTGTGTTGTCCTTTGTACTTATTTTCTTTTTTTTTAAAGATTGCAGACAACCTTTTTTCTTAAGGAAACTCTTTAACTTGTGCACATGACAAATTTAATATAGATCTGCTAAAATTGTGGGTGATATATGCACAATGGAAGCTTTTATTAGTAAGTAAATACTCAAAACTCCAGCAGCTCCCTATCACCTCCAAGATCAAATATAAACTCCTTTGGTATTCAAAGCCCTTCATAACTAGGTCTCCTCCAACCTTTCTAATCTTCTCATACCTTACTTACAACCCCTGCTGTTCCACAAACATTAATTACACTCCATCTCTCACCTCCAAACATTTTCTTTGGCTGTCCCCTGAGCCTGGAATGCTCTCCCTCCTCATCTCTGTCTCCTGGCTTCCTTTAAGTCTCAACTAAAATCCCATTTAATAGAGGAAGCCTTTTCCCACCTTTCATAATTCTAGTGTGTTTCTGTTAATTACTTCCTATTTATCCTGTATGTAGTTTGTATATATTTGTTGTCTCCCTCATTACAGTGTGACTTCCTTGATGGCTGGAACTATATGGGGCACATAATAGGTACTTAATAAATGTTTATTGATTAACTATTTTGTTTCAAAGTAGTGAACTGAACCACATATCAAACCCAAGTTATCTTACCCTTAATTATTACCCTTAGTGTACCAAATTTGATTAAAATCTTTTGCTTTCATTATTCCTGACCCTAAACTATTGAGTAGTCCCTTAGAAAGAGACTCTGTCAGGGCAATTAGATAGAAAGGTACAGAGTGGTTTGCCAAAATGGTGAGAGCACAAAGAAGTTTTCCCACATATGCCAACAATTGACCTCAGACGTTCACCCTTTGGAATCAAGGTTTTTTTATTTTACAAACACTTGGCACCTGTCCCCTTATCTCCACTCATAGGGCCACCACCGTGTTTAGGCTCTTATCAACTCTAACTGGTCTTCCTGCCTCAAATCTCTCTTCTGCTTCAAATAGCTGCCATAATGATTTTTATTAGTAACTTAGTAGTAATTAATCTGTTAGTAACTCTTCTCATTAAACTCCAAAGCTTTGATCTAGAAAAGATCCCAAAGCACCCAGGCAAATTTGAAGAAGGGTACCTAAACTCCCCTCTTTAAAACATTTAGCCCAGCCCAGCCTCAGCCCAGCCCCTGTCCTTTTCAATATTGCTATGAAGTAATTAGAAATAAAGTTACCAGTCTTATTTTAAACAAGGCTTCTCTGTTTAACATTTAGAACCCTTGGGGCAGCTAGCTGCGCAGTGGATAGAGCACCGGCCCTA